TCAGTTTAAAGAACAGAACCTTCTTAAGAGGCAATGGAAACTTCTGAAATGGAATTGCCACACACCAGGAAAACATTCTGGAAGTCTGCCTTTTATATGTGGCGTTTTCTTAAAGAAAGGCCCAACAGAGGCCTGGCTGCAATGAAATATTCACATGGAGCTATTGTGATCCTTGACCTTATTATGTTTCTCTATTCTACCAGATCCAAAATATCAGACATTTCTAAGAAAAGGCTATTTTTCTGGACAGTTTTGGAACCGCTGGCAAAAAATTCTCTTGGGTATTTTGGGAACGAAAAAGAATGAATAGGATTAACATCACTTTGCTGGAAGGGAAAATGAATATTCACTTTCTCTCAGGAGTGATTTTCACTCCACCAGGAAGCAGGACTGACTGCGTGTCAGGCCCATTCCCCAGCTGAGACCGGGGCTGGCACAGAGACTAGGCAATGCCCCGGCATCCCAGGCCCTCAGCCTCCGGCACCGACCACTGATGGAATGGCTCCAGGAGCAGCCCCTGCCAAGACCTGCTCTGGGGAAGCTCACGCCTAAAAGGAGGGAAGGCATGGCCTCCTCTCCAGCGGGGATGGACTGGGTGAGGAGACCCTGAAGTCAGCGCCTTCCTGTCCCACTAATCCCCGGACCCACCCATTCAACAGGCATTCTTGAGCACCTACCCTACAGATGCCTGGTTGTGTGAGTGTGTTAGGTTGAATCACATGCAATTGCTGATTTATAGGTGAGAAGAACACTGGCAAATGTTTCATATGGGTAAACCACTTCGAGGGGCTTCCTAAACTAGGGTTAGCAGGTTTTTCTTCTGGAGGCACCCTAGAAGGTGGTGGTGGTTGTTCAGTCATTAAGTTGTGTCTGACTCTGCGAACCCATGGACCAAAGCACACCAGGCTTCCCTGTCCTTCACTATCTCCCGGAGTTTGCTCAGACTCATGTCCATCGAGTCGATAAGGCTGTCTAACCATCTCATCCTCTCAACCAGAGAAGAACTCACCAAGCATCTGTCTGTTCACCTACTAACAGGGAACGTGAGCTGTCTAGACTGCTGTGAGACAGGTTAGTTTTACCCTACCGATGATGTGCTGTTGCCATAGTAATCCTGCTCAGTTTGAGAGGAACTGCAGGGACGAGTTACCACTTGCTAGGGGATCTGGGTCTGCCCATTTTTCTCCCAGAACAGGGTGGACATGCAATGACATAATACTCTGTAACTTTACAAGGGAATGAATCCTTCCTTTAGACTGGCTTCTCCCAGACATCGTTTTAAGCAGAGGCAGCCTGGAGGGTGGGCCACGTGGCTGCCTTCAGCTCTCTGTGGGTCCAGATCTGCACAACACAGGCAGCCAGACACAGAAAAGCAAGTCAGAACTGCAAAATGAAGGCCCGCTCATGGGTCCATGTGCCTCTGGGGCAAAACTGTACCCAAAGTTCAGTTGTAAAAATATTCACCCAGAGCGACCAGGGGGATATTGCCCACAGCAGTCAGAGGGATGAGAGACAGGCTCCCTCCTCCCTGGTGCTGGTGACGTGGGGCCGTGCTCACTGCGGGGATCATCCTGTGCACTGCAGGACCTTCAGAAGCAACCCCAGCCTCTGCGCTCCAGAGGCTGTAATCTTCCTTCCCTCTGGCTGAGAAGCCCAGGGTCAGAAGGACGCTACGATCGAATGCAAACTGCATGATCTATGAGGGGAAAAAGCAAGATTCCTGGGGACAAACCTGTGTCAACAGCCTAACAGGGTTGATCTACAGACAGGGGGATGGAGAGAAAGAGTTGTGGAGAAGATTATCGTGGATCACCCACCTTGACAGTTCCATCTCTGCTAGCCAGAACTCAAAGCTGGAAACAATGACTTATACAGGTGAAGGGGGCGGGGGGGGGGGGGGGCGCACGGGGCTGGGAGGAGGTGGTCCTGGACAAGAGACAGGGCTTTGCTGACCAAGGGGGTGGGCTGGGGGACAGTGATGGGGATCTCTCCCTGCACCTTGGGGCCCCTGTGTGACATTCCTGCCTCAAACAGCCCCTTCTCTTCTGAGCTTCATCTGGCTCCTTCTCATCCTCAGGTCTCCCTTCTCTCTGGGAGGGTTCCCTTCCCACCCACTGGCTTTGGATGTCCTCCTCAGGGTCACCTGGCATCCTGGCACAGAATGCATCAGCTTCTCTCTCTCTCACACGCTCCCTCATATATTTATGTACATATATGTATGCAGCAGTTTGCTTTTCTCCTTGCTCCTCCCATTAGAAAGTGAACTCCATGAGGGCAGGGACCCAGTCCTCACTGAGGGAGCAGCAGTCTCTGCCCCAGAACCCAGAGCAGAGTCCACACCCGGTGAGTCTCTCCCCACAGCTACCTGCTGAACTGATGAAGGAACTCACTTTCCCACTGACAGGCAGGGGAGGGCCGATGAGCCAGGCTCCTGAACGGAATCACACCCGTGGTCCGCCACAGCCGACAGCTTCATCATGGTGTACACTGGTCTGTTTCTGCAAATTCAACTGGCGTTTGCAAGGCAGATACAGATGGCAAACAATAGCATGGAAGATGTGAAAGTTTCAGTATTTACTTACATCTGTCTGCTCAACAGACCCTTTTGTGATACACCTTTCGGGCAAATGTGTGGGGCTCTGAGTCACATTGCTCACCTGTCAATGTACATGCTGAAAGCCCGATGAGAGAGTTAAGAGCAAAGTTGAATCGCAATCTTTTTTTCCCCCCCAGTATTTTTGGTTACACAATGCAGCATGCATTGTGTAATCTTAGTTCCTTGACCAGGGATCGAACCCCTGCCCCTTGCAGTGGCAGTGTGATGTCTTAACCACTGGACCACCAGGAAAGTCCTGGGAGTTCTATTCTTCAAAAGCGGTATTAGGAAGGGTATCTGTCTGCATGTTGATCGGCAGGGGGGGGGGGGGGGGGGCAGGTAGCAGGGTAAGAGCGAGGGTCCCCATGGCATCTGTGTCATAAGTGGACACGTGGGCAGCAGGCCACCTGCTCAGGTCTAGTCTGGCTGGTCCCCATCACCACTGCCACCTTCCGACATCAAGAACACAGAGACATTTCCGTCTAACTTTTATATGAAGAATTTAATTATCTATACACATAACTAATTCAAAAGGTTGTATTACAGTTGTTAAAGCCGCAGGTTTATATATTTATATATTTTACATTCATATCCATGACAATACTGACTCGCCAGCGAATGAGACGGTGTCCTCATTCTTGGCACTATGTGAGTGGAGAAGACCTCTACATGATGGCCAGCACAGAGTCCCCAAGGGGACAGACGTAAAAACAGAAGATCGCTACTATTAAAAAGTCATTAGTGGAACCGCTAGGTTGTGCTTGAGGCTCCCTGCCCCCCAACTGTTTTCTGTGCTGTTAGCAATGGCGTTTTTATTGTGAGCTTCCAACTAGTGTTTAAAAGACACACATGGCTTCAGCTACAATATCCAACACATCAACGGACCATGAGCTCCATTTCATATTAACCTGTAGAAATTCCACAGTCTAGTTAAAAAATGTAAACATTGGAAATTAATTGCAGGGAGACTCCTATACATTCTTTCTTGTCAAGAAAATTCCTTGTTTGAAATAGGTCATTCCATGAAGTCACTGGAATAAAACTTGGTGTAACAGAGACTAAGGCGAGATTGTAGATACTGTTGACAGTGACAACCTCAAAGGTATAGTCTACGGATTTATGGTATGAAAATATGCAAAATTAAAAACCCCAAACAGAAAACACCAACTCAACCAGATAAATCTGAGACTGAACAAAAACACACATGCTTTCTCATGGGGCTACAAGGTCACTGTGCAAAATAAAATTAATGCAATATGATTAGCACATCATACAAGGTAATAGCTTTTGCCATGGAGAGAACCAATTTCATATGTACAGGATGTATTATTACATGCTCAGCAAGGTACATCTGATACACACAAACAAGCACAAAACACCTTCTGTTTAATCGGCCTCGTTCTACAAGTTTTTAAAACAGATATACTGAACGCCTCTGTACTTCTACAGTAGGGGCAACAGCCCAAACTACACAATTTAGTTGCTAACACTGGACAAAATGAAAAACAAAAAATACATCAAGTCTCAGATTTGTGGACATTTGGAACATTTTTTTTAATAGCACATGCAGCATTCCTTGATAGTGGGTCTTTTTGCAAAACCAAAATAGCAAAGAAGTCATTCTTTTTTTTTTTATTAAAAGGCTAAAAGATTTGTTGAAAAATAATTTGAAAACTATTGAAAGCACCTGTGCAAAGGTGGGGGGAAGTCAATTTGAGTCACTAGGAAAGCCACAAAAGGACCCACTACCCTGTGTGTTTTTGTAATTTTTTGCTTCTGTCTCTGCAAGTAATAACTCAACATTGTCATCACATGCAACTAAGGTAAAATGAGGTAAACTGCTCTGCAGTGAGTTCTTCTACTCAGAAGGCAGTAGGTGATCATGCTGGAAGTCACATGATCAAGGCTGCATCTCCCATCATCCCTCGGGGCAGTGATATGGGATAGTGGGTCTCTTTGAGGACTTTCAAGCCTGAGGGGGGGGTGGACAACATATGATTCCTAGAAAAAGGAGGAAAACAACACATAAGCAAAACAAAACAATGAGCAAAATTCAAGCTAGGAAAATGAGTCAGGCATGTAAAACAGCATGGTGCCAAAATGATTAAAAAGGAAAAAAACAGAAAAGAAAAAGGGGGGGAGGGGTGGGAGGGGACATGCTACAGAAGGAATGAATTTAAAAAACCAAAAACAAAAACCAAAACCAGAACAAAAAAACCAACAAAACGAAAACCCCACGAGATAAAAGTCTTGCATTACGAGGAAGGTCTTCAAAGAGACTGTTGCGAATGCAGCAATGGTCTAGCTAAGTTCTGCAAATAAAGCTCAGCAGAATCAGAGCAATGCTGCATGTTTCACCTGAGACGCCAGAGAGGAGAGGCAACCGGGCGGCCGGGGCACTTACATTGCTGGCTGGGGTCCATGTCCGTGGTCAGCTTCACGTAGTTGGACGGGAAGAGCCCCACCTGCCCGTGGACTTCGCCCTTCCACCAGTCGGGGTCCTCCTTGTTGAGGACGTTGATGACCTGGCCCTTGCTGAAGGCCAGCTCGTCGTCGTTCTGCGCGGTATAGTCGTACACCCCGATCACCTGGCACACTGCGGGAGACAGGCCCAGTGAGGGGTGGGGACGCGCACTGCCTGGGGTCTCCGCGCCTCCTGGGTCCCACCCGTTTCCTTGCCCGAAGAGGGCAGAGCTACCTGGAGGGCTCTGGGGGGCTCTGTGCATGTGTGGGCAGTGGAGGAAGCCGGAGGACCGGAAACCAAGACAACAGCAAAAATGGCAGACCTCCCTTTAGTTTCCATCCCACCTTCCTCTGGTAGGTGTTTTGCTGTCTTCAGAAAACGGTGGGGATGAGGGAGAGCTACCAGGGAATCATTTCCGTCTGAGGGTGGTGATGTTCTTTCAGGATGCTGACTTGGAACATTAGCCCATCTGCACACCCAGCTGTAGATCATGGGGACTCGACCCCAGCTCTTTTCTTTCTTTTCTGATTTTTTGTTGTCTGTTTGTTTTTTTTTTAAGGTGGAAGCTGATTATCAGCTGACCTCTGAAAAGTTCAACTCTTGTGTCTGACTCTTTGCGACCCCGTGGACTGTGGCCTGCCAGATTCCTCTGTCAATGGGATTTTACAGGCCAGAACACTGGATGGAGTGGGTTGCCATTTCCTTCTCCAGGGTATCTTCCCAACTCAGGGGTCGAACCCGCATCTCCCATCTCTTGTGTCTCCTGCATTGGCAGGCAGATTCTTTACCACCAACGCCACCTGGGAAGCTCTTAGTGAAAAGGAAAATCAGTGCCTTATTCTGCTGTACTTTTGTGTCTCAAAATCTTGTCTCCAAGAAGCAATTTCCACATTCAAGGACAATTTTCCTTTTCTCATTTTCCCTCAAACCTACAGGAGGTAACACTGTTTTTATTCCCGGGCATTTTTACACTTCAGAGAAGTCTGCCTAGTTAGGTGTTACCCCTGTTCATCTTTCCTGACCAACCTGTATACAAGCTCAGGCTTTAACGATGTTCCAGCTAATCTCATCCCCTCGGCAAACAATTTCTGTGGGTTTTAACCAGCCTGATGAAGGGCACACCACTGGCTCTCCCCAAGGGAGAGAAGACACCACGGGCACCACACCCCTCTGCCCACAGGAGGCCACGGCTCAAGCACAGGGCCCAGCTGGGGTCAGGAATCAGTCACAAAGTTGGCCAATCCTTTCATTTCTTGCAAAGGCTGCCAAGTTTTGATCTGATTTCACTGGGAATGTACAGCTCAGACATTTAGCCACAGGTTCTGGAAGGAAAAGCCTGTGTTTTCCACAAATACCACCCAAGATTCCATTAATGGCTTAAAGACCCAAAGCAGAAGTTGGCTTCCCTAACCTCACCCTCTCACATATTACCGAAGCATCTAATTTGGTCTCTCAATCAGAAAACAGCCAACCATCTCAGCTGCAGGGCCCTCTGTTCCCTCTTGGTCCCCTTAGGAGAGCGTGTATAACATCCTGCCTATTAAGCGAAGCCCCTCCGTTCACAGGAAATGTCACAGGGGAGCTATTTCGGTCTTTTCTGAGCAGCACATGACAACCAGCAGACCCCTGTGGCCTCTCGGCTCAATCTCCTGACCTATTTAGACCCCGGCCACTTATTTTTAGGAGGCCCTTTTTGTCTCCCCCCCACCCCCCAACCACCACCCCAGCCCAAATCTCAAATTAAATAGTTGGAAGGAAATCAAGAGAAAAGTCTGGCTTCAATAGCACAGCATTCAGGGCCCCTTTAGGAAGCCAGTTCCAACAAGGACTCTGTTGTACCCAGCACAGCAAAGCCGCTTAGACATTTGGTCCTTTTGAAAAACATATTCCATATCACATTCGTGGGGTATCAGCCCCCACCCAAGTACAAGAGGCGCTTACAGCCGATGTGAAAGACAACCTCCGCCCCTCCAGGAGAGAATCGAGCGTAGACTACCAGGAAGCACAGACCATTTTCCGCGCAGAGTATAAAGCGCTCACCTGCGGGGAATGCTGTTGGCTTCGGTGGGTCTGTTGGAGTAATCTTGCTTGTCCCAGGGCTTAAAAGTTTGACGTAATTAGCAGGAAACCAGCCTATCTGGCGCTTTTTCCCACGTGCCTAATAATTTAAAAAATTACATTAAAACGTTTCAAAGGTTCATCCTCTTTCATGGTACAGTTTGCTTCCGAACATGGTGTGCTTATGCCAAGCTTACGCATAACTGAAAAAGAAATAACATCAATAGTAGAATCTATGGATTACTACATTATTAAATGAAAATACCATAGCTGAAATTCAAACTGTGGCAGCCGCTGGTCAAGCAAAGCCCAGACTGTTTTCACACGGGCGTGACTGCATGGATCACACTCAGAGGACAATGCAGTGCTTACAGGCTAGAAAACCCTGCTCACTGAATAGCTCTCAGGTGCCAATTTCAGGTCGCGGAGAGATTACGGTTTACGCCATTACATATGGATTTGAGGAATAATAATATACTAATGGCAGCAACATGTACTGGGAGCTTCTTATGAGCTAGGCCTGTGTTCAACATCTATTATATGTGTACCTACACAACAATTCCAGAAGAATACTACTACTACTATATCCACTGCCCACTTTCACTATTCCCAGTTCTCAGATAAAAAGAGTAACGCTCAGAAAAGTTAAGTGATAATCTCAGTGTTACAAGCTAGTTAATGGCAAGCCAAGATTCACACTCGCATCTATGATCTTCTTATGGATATTAATTGTACATATACGAGATGACAGACATGCAATATATGCAGGACACAAGGGGGATAAGCTTGACCTTGCCTTCAAAAGCCATCAAGCCTGTGTGATAGGTGAGTCATGCTTCCCACTGTCAGTCCCTTCTCCTTCACTTTAATCTAATTCAACACAAAATTCATTCGCTGAGTGCTTACATGCTGAGAGTTGTTGGAAATGGATAGTATATGACTTGAAGGAACTTATAATAAAGTTGGTGAACCAAGATTTGTAATCCTGACATAATTTTGAGAGACAAAGACTCTAATTAGGGATGACAAGTGTCATAACTACCCTTCTGCACAGCACCAGGAGCAGAGAATTCAAAGCAATCTACAGGGCACACATGCACGCCCACCCTCTAACCTATTCCCCAAATAAGAAAATAAAATTCAGAGAAAAGGAAGCTTTCTACACCTCACCCTACCCTCTTATCTGATGCAATTTATCATGAAGGATACTTCTGGGTTACTTTTAGAACATAGATCAGATTCTACTTTCTTTGTGGTCTGATAAGATTTCATGCTCTTAGCTCAAGGACTAAAGCTTTTATCTTCACACTGAACGCACCCATGGTTGAAGCCACTTCTTTAAAAGTTCCCCCGTGTTAATCTATCTGGCATACACTGCTGTGGGGCTCACAGCGATGCCACCATTTCCAGCATCTGTGCAGTTTCCCAGAACATAGAACTCACTGGCAACTTCCTTTTTTCTTTAAAAAATAATTTCTGTTATTTTTTGGCCATGCCTCATAGCATGCAAGATCTTAATTCCCTGACCAGGAATTGAACCCGTGTCACCTTCAGGGGAGGTGTGGAGTCTTAACCATGGACCACCAGTTGGGACCACATTCCCAACTTCTTTATCCGTGTAGTTGCAGTAGACGAAGTCTGGTGAGAGCACCAGAAGCCCTCCTGGACAGATAACTGAGGGCTGCAAGAACCCACTCAAGACTCTTTCATGTAAGGTACTAGGAGTGAGAGGATGAAAAGATATGGTTTCTGCCCTCAAAGAGTTGATAACCTACACGAAGAAGTAAGAAACATGCATGGGAAGGTAAGTAACAGTATTGGCATCAATACTAAATGCCAAGAGAGGCTCAGGCATTGGGCCACCATGGTTCATGGAAGATGTCGCCTCGGGTGGGACGGTCATAGAAAAAGCTTCTGGAAGAAGTGGGATCTGACCCGCTCTTGAGGAGGGGGCAGGGGGGAAGGAGGCGGGTAGGACCATGTTGGGAGATGCTATGGGCAAAGGCAGGAAGAAATCGGGGTCTGGGGCTGCTGCTTAGAGAGTAGATCACCGCCTGAGGCTGGAGCAGAGACGTCACTGTGAGTCAGACTGGCGAGACGCCTGGAAGGGCAACAGGGTGCACTTGTGAGCAGGCTGAGGAGGGCGGCCATGGGGACCCCCTTAAGTCTTCAGAACAGGGGAGTCACCTATGGGCGGGAAGGCCACTAGGTGAAAACCCTCTATAGGAAACAAGACCACAGTCTGAGGAAGGCCTCCCCCACCCAATGAAGGAAGAGGAAAAGGAGAGGGAGGGAAGCCCTGGCAGTCCAGTGGTGAGGACACAGGGCTTTCGCTGCCACGGCCCTGGTTCAATCCCTGGTTGGGGAACTAATATCCCACAAGTCCTGTGGCACAGTGAAAAAAATCAGCAAATTAAAAAAAAATTTTTTTAAAGGATGAGGGGATTGGATTCCAGGACCCCAGTGGAATCCTGAACCAGTAAACTGCGTCTTGTCCGCCCTGCTGGACACGGTTTTCAGTGGCTGCCCACCAGTGAGCTCCCAGGGGAAGTTCTGCCTTTGGCTGCTCCAGGCTGAGCCTTCTATTCCAGCCACGATGCCTTTCTTTCGTCCACAGCTCACTCTCCACTCTCTGGGGCTTCAGTTTCTAACTTTAATCTGGCCCACGTGCACAGAAAGCGCTGTTATTCCTTTATTTTGCCACAGTGCAGATCTCCGCCTTCCTGGTCAAGGTTTCCCTTGACGGCCTGATGGACCGAGGACAGGTGGATACATGGGGCCTGAAGCTGCTGAGCCACACAGATGCGGCTCTGACGGCAAAGGCATCACGCCCCACGGCTCCGCGGGGGGCTCTGCTCCTGCGCTGCTGTGACACTGGGGGTGGGGGACTCCACCGCGAGCGCTCTCCTTCCCCCACAACATGGTCTCAGCTCGAGAATCCAGCAGACACACACACATCTTCAGGAGAATCCTCAGCTCTCACATTTCTGTTCCTGGCTGCCCAAGGCTTAGGAGCAAACTGGGTTTAGATAATGTGGCATCTCTCATTACACAAATACAGGATTCAGACAGTGTGGGGGTGTCTGCACTTTTCCATGAAATAGCATCCCTTTGAAATCCTGTATACTGAAATCTGGGCAGGGAATTTTAAATAAATGGAAAAGACAGTAACCTGTAGCTCTCCTTCCCACCATCCACCGGGATTCTTTTTCCGGATCAGGATCAGCTGACCGGGGGCCAGGGTAAGCTGCTCAGGACCCGTAGCTGTGTAGGAGGCAATGACCTGCGCAATTTCTGGAAAACAAGACCAACCAAGGTATAGTGCACCATTAAGAGCTAGAAGGACAGCCAAGACACAGCCACCTCCCAGGGTGACGGGCAAACATCCTCAAAGCCAGTACACAGGGCCAGTTTTCTACTCCACGAAGGAGGCTCAGTGGGCACCCGTTCCCCGCAAGGCAAACGCAGTGCTCTGGGGCTGGACTCGCCTTCCGTGTCTGTCTGGTGTACCCGAGGGTCTCCTCGTCCCTTGGAACCCCCCAGCTTGCCCCCACAGGCTCCCCACCCCCCAACCCCCCAGGATGCCAACGGTTGGGCCTCATTCATCCCCACCCGCCTTTGGCCCCCACACAGGGCTTATTATCACATGGTCCACGGAAGGATGGTCGAGTGAGTCAAAGAACTCAAGTGAAGCCATTCCACCTGCCAGGTACAGTAGAAAGACAAGTTCTGTGTTCTGGAGAAGCCGCCAGGAGCAGGCACTATACTATGACGTCTATACTATGACTTTCCTCAGCCTCTCTCTGCCATCCACAAGACCATTTTGTCTGTGGCTGACATTCTAAGGGTGATCCCTGAATATCAGCTAGGGATCACGTCAATGGAAGTTTACTTCTTTTCACTGCAAGTTAAAGGAGGATCCTAGAGTCAAGAGGGGGATTTTAAGCAAAAGAGCAGTTCAGCACAGAAAAAAAAACAAAAACCATAAGCAGGTCTGTACTTTTCCTGGCTGAACAGTCTCATGGGGAAACCCCAGCAGCACCACAGGCCAGGCCCTGGGAAGCACACCTCTCCTGGCACAGGCGGCCAACCACGAAAGGACAGAGCCCTTCTCTGCCTGAATGCTGGCGCATCCGCAGCGACTGCCTTGTGAACTTCTAGAAGCAAGACGGAACACACTGTTCTATTCCTCTATACTCTCTCCCCGTTGTGACTGTTCTCGGAAGAAAGAGATGAAGACACAAAGAATGAAGTAAAGACAGAGAGAAGGAGAGAAGTAGAAGGCCCATCTCTGACAGCACTTCCTGCGTTAAGGAATATGCCCGGCCCCTCCACCCCACCCCAACCCTGTCCTGAGATCAGCCGCCACCATGCTAGGAGCACTGGGACGTCCCGGTGCAGGCTGGCCCTGTCAGATGTGTCCCAGGGCTCAGGGAAGCCAGAGAGAACCCAGCTCACATATGTCTGGGCTCCCCTGAGAGCCCAAGATGAGAAATCTGTGCTGGGGACGAGAACTCTCCCCCAGCACACCAAGGATTAGCTCTAGACTCCAAAGAGTTTTCAATTCGGAAAACATCCAAATTATTATCCTATTTGGCCCCGGTGTTCCCATTCCTTAAAGGACCTGGCCTGCGTAGCTGGTGACCTGTCTCAATACTCATTTCCTTTTTTTTGAGCAGCTCGCTGGTTTCCGTGTGATGTTAAGCCCCTCTGGACTCTTTGGAGTGACCATTTAAAATGTATAGGGTTGGCCAAAAAGTTCATCCAGGTTAGCCTGTAAGAGGTGGTGGAAAAACCCAAACAAACTTTTTGGCCGACCCCATAGCATACTCAGGGTTAAAACAGAGATTTGACTGGCCTGGTCTGGTATCTGAGTCAGGCTGAAATCCTACAACTACCAGGAAACCCACTTTTCCTTGTCAGGTGAGCCTGTCCGGAGGCTGAGCGCCAGGCACAGATACACAAGTCCCTCTCTCAGCACTGTGGTGACTCAACCTGTAATTTCTTAAGGCTGTAAGAGCAAAAGGGCTCAAATGGCCTAGATGAGGAAGACAGGCCATACCAACCGTATGATTTCCCAGCTGCTGCTTTCTTCTCTCGTTCGTGTTTCTATTAATAGAACATGTGATTTTTGTTTAAATAAATAAACTGAAACACTTTTGAGTTCAGGGGGATGACTATAATTTTGTGCTTTCACTATGTACCTGAGGTAAACTACTCAAAGGCTTCTAAATTCATCAGCCCCACTGTCTGATAATACGTGCGGCTCCTCTAATCTCCTCCACTATTTACATCCTGGGATTGAATGTGCTTTCAGGAAAGGAAAAAGTACTGAACCTAATGAGAGGAGGATTAAGTAGCAGCTGACCCCAAATCCTACAGTTCCAAGCGTGACAACGTCCCACCATCTTGCCTGAATTATTTCTTCACATCCCAAGAGAACATTCTGTCTGGTAATGTCCCTAACACCCCATGTGTGAAGCAACAGCCATTATTTCATAACCATGGATACACACTATTAATGAAGTCCAAGGAAAGGATCTATTCCAACCACTCTTGGGACAGATTCTTTAGTCTTTACTTTTCTTTCTTTTTTTTTCCAAAAAGGTTTCTGGCCCTAATAAAAGATTGGGAGCAACTATCAATTACATTAAAAACATTGAAAAAATAATCATCAGGGTTTGTCACTTACCAGGTTTTTTTCCTAAACTCCCTGTTTTCCCAGCAGTTCCAGAGCCCTTGAAACAGAGCAGAAGGTCTCATTTGCATACTGAAGAGTTTTGGTCAAGCAACTTAAAAAACGATGAATGATGTCACGAACCCGCTTGAGCCCCTAAATTCCTTTTTTTCATTCTGGAGAAACACAGCAGCATTTTATCTCCTGACATTACAATGTGTATCAAGGAAAACACGGGGCAAAATGAGTACTGTAAAGCACACAGCCTTTCCTCTCTTCCTGAGAGAGAAATAAGCAGAGTAAGAGGCACTGTACAGATCCCCCAGGGCTTGGGCACTGACTGTGTGTAACATGAGTGTGGCCAGGCCCTGTGTCAAACCAAACAGCGGCTGCCCCACCAGGAAGACTGTTGGTCTACACCCTAAACACCAAGCTCATGTTTGAGGTCCAAATGGTTAATCATTAAACATTTCACAGACAAAAAAGTACAGAGGTTACAGTAGACATCCATGAGCTCAACACCCCGACTGAGTACGTGAATATATTAATATTTTAGTACATCTGCTTTAGGGCTTTCTTTTTTTTTAAAGAAGGAAAACAGGACGGTGGCGATTCAAACCCCCCTGCCCCCATTCTATTATCCAGAGAGGTGGCCACTCTCTCCTATGAGTCCTTTCTACCCAAACTTTTCACTCTTTAAATGCTAAAATTTTTCTTTTAATGCTGGACACACAGCACATAGAAGCAGACCACTTTTTCCCAACTATTAAGTGTTCCAAAAGTGCTCTAGGGTTGAATTCTTTCATGAATACTCATGGAATTTTAAACTAGCTGAGCAAGCCAAGCCAGCAGAGACTTGGCTGGGACAGGGGCCAGGCCGTAATCTGTCGTTACAAAGTGCTTTATTCCGAATTAATTTTCACTCGTGTGTCACTATCTTCCAGTAAATTAAGTATTCCAATTAAAATAGAACAAAACGAAAGGCTTAATTAACTAAATGAGAGTAACTGTAAAATAAAAATATGTAATTTATCTACCAGGAACACAACTTCTCATTGTCCCTTTATTTATACTGAAATTCAATAACCATCTAGCAGGGAAAGTTTGAATTAAAATGTTTACTCTGATTAACAAAGATACATGTATAATACCCATCTCCCTCCGAATTTTCATAGGCTACGTATCAACATGAAGGCATACTAACGCTACAAAATTCCAAACGGCCAGTTAATTTCCCATTGCAGGCTTATAATATACTCTCTCTATTCCATAAAAAGAACAAAGTGATTGGCAACCCACTGATGGAGTTTCAGCCACATTAATGTGCTCCCTTTTAAACACCGCAGCCAGCACTTAAGCTGAGACAGATTCAGATGGCCACGTTTGGCTCTGGCACTTCTCAAGAATGCAGTAGAAAAGCTAATCCAGGTGACGTGCCCCAGCCCTGCTCATGCAGAGAAGGGAAGTAGGCTTAGGACAAACTCCTCTCTGCATCCACGAGTCAATTCTGGTATCTGAGGCTCGGTCTGGTTTTTAAGTTTGGCAGGATATTGACTTGTGCACTGAATTCTTTGTCCAAGTAGGATGAAAGATTTTTTTTTTAATTTTTTCATTATTATGAGATAATGTAGCTCAATGTTTGCCCCAAAATCGTTAGCACTGCTAATTCTTTGGTGGCTGATAATTTAAGACAGCAACTAAGAAAGCACCTTTAGAAAATGTCACAGTGCATTTTTTCTAAACTTACTGACTTGGGATGGTTTGGGTAGAAAACTCAAGTTTATTAAAGGATAATACAAGTAATGGCTTTGGTGTTTAATTGAGCTCAAATGTAAAGCCACTTTAAGAGTTTCTGTGCATGGGAGCAGAAATTGAGTTTAGTTTGTAATGTTTTCCCTCTGCTCTCCTAAAATATCATCTCCACAGTTCTTACTGGATCTAACTAACTGGTCTGGAGAAGAGTTGAATTTTCCCCCTCCAGGTCTTCAGAGGACAATACAATGACTGTCTTACAGAAAAGAAGTATTTTCATTCCAGCTTCTGCCAAATTCTCCAAGGGGAAGCAGACTTATGCAAACCCCTCCAGGGGAATTTCAGCAAGCTGCTCTCAAGACCAAAGCAAGGGAAAACAAAAAAACCCCCCACACAACAATAATACTCCCTAAAAAAAAAAAGCCAAAACAAAAACTAATAAAAATCTCAAGCAAATACAACTACTCCAGGGAATTGCAGGAAAGCAGAGAAGGCAGACTGAAGGTGGAATCACCACAGTTTATCACCAGGCCCAGCCTTGCTCCCCAAGTAGCTGTGGGTCTGTTAAATGACTACATTTATAACCTGAAATTCCCACCAACTTGAAATTGGCCACTCGGAGATGGGCTCCCATATGCCAGTAGGCCCATGTCACAATTTCATTAATTCTGTATCATCTCAGGACATTTTATGCAACTAAATTTTTAGGGCCCCATTAACAACAGTTGGGAGCCACTTCCAATTTGTAAGCATTGACAATAAACTGAGTCTCTGCTCAATCTCTGATCAGGAGATACTAAGGCCTGGCCAAAGGCCTTAGTGAAATCTTGAGTCTTGCTATTGTATACGTAAAAATATAAGTTCTAGCAGTAAACATCATTTATATACAAATTATAAATTTATCCAACTAACTTTTTTAGATAATTCCAAGGAACTGGAGCTGCTGGGAATAAGAATATCCAAAATTTAGTTCTGACTACAACGTGTAATAGATTTCCCCCTACTACATAGATGGGTGGCTTCCCTGATAGCTCAGTTGGTAAAGAATCTGCCTGCAATGCAGAAGATCCCAGTTCTATTCCTGGAAGATCCCCTGGAGAATGGAAAGGCTACCCACTTCAATATTCTGGCTTGGAGAATTCTATGGACTGTATAGTCCAGGAAGTCGCAAAGAGCTGGATACGACTGAGCGACTTTCACTTTCACTTTACAGATAGATGGGACTTCATCAGTCTTGCATTTATGTGGGTCTATTTCCTAAAACTTTACAAATGCTATTAATATACTTTTAACCTTTGGTAATATGATATTACAAAGTAGTTGCTTTTCTTCTGGTACTGTTCAGCTCAGTCATCTTCACATATGCTCAATCCTCATAATCACTTGTGTTTTTTCACTTTCTTCTGTCCTCCCTTCCCCTGCACATATCAATGTGTTTGTTACAGATTTCTAAGAACTCATTTATCACTAAGGATGTTAACCACCTGTTATGCAATGCAAATGAGATACCATATTTTATTGCTTTCAATTCACTATGGTGTTTTATATTTTGGCTGTGTATTCAAGTATAATCATGTTGTGTTTCATGAAAGATAAACAAATTCTAAAAACTCTCTACTACCCAATATTCTGGGGCTAGTATCACCAAAACACATTTGTTTACATGGGGGAAATACTGCTGTGTATCTTTCTTGGGGTATCCCAGATCAGTGACCATGGAGACTTAATCAAGAACATTTACTCTAAATCCTAAGTCAGTTACATCCAGGAACATAGAGGAATCCTGAACATTATTCCAGCTGACACAGACCAGCCTCATTCAGGGCAGCCTCCACCGAGCCCCAGGGGGGTTCTTTTGCTTCTGGGAAGCCCAGGCTGACCCTGCAGCACCACTAGGCAAGTTGAAACAATGACACCTCACACTGTGTTTGCAGTCACGTTCCAGACCTTAGCAAAACCCAACAACGATGTTCCACCGGCAAACCTCATGACTCCCTGAAGAGAGAGTCAGTGCGCAGAAGGGGAGAGGAATATTTAACGTGGTTTACCTCTGCATCTTTAAGCCTCACATAGTTAGAAGGGAAGACGCCGGACTTGTCGCCCACCGCTCCTGTCCACCAGTCACCATCTTTCTTGGTAACCAAAATCACATCCCCTTGCTGAAAGGTTAAATCGCCTTGCTCAGAACTCTCGTAAGTGTACATGGCAATAAATTCTGGTGGGGAGAAATATTGAGATACGAAGAGAGCTTGATTGTTTACAGAAATCCCAGACAACTATGCAAAAGCAAGTTTATGAATAAGGACATTAGGATAAGGTCCAGTCAAGAGAAAGCCTAGTCATAGATAAAATACAGAGTTGCAGAACCCCCTGGGCTCCAAATTCACCAACTTGCACATAAAATTCAGTAATTGCAGGCAGGGAGACAATTCCTGTGAAGACCCAGCCCCAGAAACAACAACAACAACAAAAAAAAAACCCTGCATGTCCACCCAATAACAGTACAGAGAGTGATCTCCGACTTAATACCATGTTTTTTTTAACGTGGCATTTTTATATTTACTTTTTTCTCCTTCAGCATTTAAAAAAAAATAAAGTGCAGTTGATTTACAATGTTGTTAACTCCTGCTGTACAACAAAGTGATTTGGTTATACATACATACACCTGTTTTTAAATGTTTGCTTTCAATTAACATTTACTGAGTGTCTAGGTGTGATGAGCACAGTGTTACAGGCACCGACATGCCGGCTCTCAGCAAGCTCATTAAAGATCTGTAATTCACTTTTTGAAGCTCATCAAATATCCGTAATGCACCAAGTCACCATTTTAGAAAACTTTTAGATGTGGTATATCCTTTATATAAATTAAATAAGACATTTTTCAAAGTGCTTGGTGAAAACCTAAGTCCTTCTGTGCCGTATTACACAGATGGCAGAAGCTGTTAGAACATACAATTTTAAATATATATTATTTAGCTAAAAATGGACATCTACTTGTCAAAGGAACAGGTAGAATGGGCTGCTGATAAGAGTAGTATCTACCCAATCCCAGAAAATAATCACGCCTTTCTGAACAAGATGAAAAGACAAATCAAAGTTTCTTTCATGTTATTATTCATGTAATTTAGCCTTAAAGGACCAGAATTAAAGTTCTTTACTGTCTTGAAGGTGAAGGCTGTGCATTCCAGAGGAAATTTTTCTTCTATAAACCCTTGATTTTACTAAGGCTTAGAAACCAAGTCATAATCTCAGAAAGATCACTTGACACAAAATTCTAGACACTATAGTAGGTACAGAATAAAAGATTTCTAGGAAGATGAACATACATTTCCTGTTTCCACTTTTTCTCCATTTTATCCCAGGCTTTTGTATATTTTTTAAAAAGCAATTAAAAAAACAACAAAGTTTACCCAAAATGTTTGTTTTATGATAGATGGTGTGTTTCTAAATTTCTTGAGGAGCTTAATGTCAATTAATAGGCAGAGATTTAGTCTGGAGGACTCCACTGGCTAATTATAAGTACCTTTGCAGGAGGCACTAATGGAAACTAAAATAAACACTAGCAAACACAAACTATCCTGATGCTTATGGTAATGTGGGCAGCTCTCCAAGGGGCCATTTCAGCCTCAGCTGAGGCCAGCAGACCCCCGACATACAAGGTCATCCAAACACGCTAGGGAGAACAGAAGCCTCTCTGTCTTCAGCCCTCCAGCACCGCTGACACACACCTCCACCGTTAAAACTGGCAAAAGGATTTCCCGCACAAGGAAATCAAAGTTTGGCAGCTTGAATAAGGACACTGCTTTTTCATTAATATATTCCTTTTTCTGATTTCTCAGTATTTTGACCCTTCCCTTTTTATTTTGTTCTGTTACTTATTCCTTAGCTCATGTTTGGCCATTTAAGTTTGGATCCATGGCCATCAGTCCTTTTCCCAGTGATTTCTGCACTTAAAAGTCACTTTCTTAAAAACGGATCCAAATTTTGAAGTCACTTTTGAAATGCTTAAGAAACATCAGAAGCATGAACTCTGGCTGAACTTCACACTGCAGTAGAAGATACCAAGGAGACTGGAAAGACTGTGGCTTTACAAGCCCTGCGTGTAAACAGGCATCTGTGAGGACCTTCAGGATTCAATGAAAATGGGGAGACGGGAGGATGGATGGGGGGCTCCTCACCACTCAGAGCCTCTTCATCAGACAGTAACACAGGGCACTGGCCATTCCCAAGCCCATATTTTACAAGCTACCCAAACTGACCATCTATTTAATTTGGTTTCTGGTGTCTCAGCTGGTAAAGAACCCGCCTGCAATGCGGGAGACCTGGGTTCGATCCCTGGGTTCGACCCCTGGGTTGGGAAGATGCTCTGGAGAACGGAAAGGCTACCCATTCCAGTATGCTGGCTTGAAGAATTCCACGGACTATATAGTCCAAGGGGTTGCAAAGAGTCGGACACGACTAGTTGCCTGAATCACTGGTTACTTTCAATCTGATTACATTTAATACAGTATTTATAAACAGGTCCCTAATATATATAAGTGCCTTTTCCTAGAATATCAGATGCCACTGTCCTCCCACACCCTTCCAGAAAGCCAGCGATCTTTCCTAATATTTCTAATACTGAAATCATTGTAAAATGGATGTAATAAACAAGATTAGACATATAACCCTCTGCTGTTGCCCAAGTTAAGGATGTGGGTGGTTCATCTGTGACCTACTTATTGAGGGCTCAAGCTTGGAGGCCTCTACATGTTTCAAAACAAAGCGACATTCATGAACACTACTGTCAGATGAGAAAGCTCACTGCTCTAAGTGGCTCCACCAATAATCTAGGAACTGAAGTAAAAAGGAAATACAAGTAGCAGACACTTGCTGACCTTTATTCTAAAAGCTTGCCCTCTTGTTTCATGATTCCCATAATAATTTGCTACCTCAAGTGGTGACTATTATGCTCCTTTTACAGATGAGAGTTGAGGCACGACTAAAATCATTCGGTCACTAGGTGAGAGAGCCAGGATGCAAACTCTGGCACCCACTGAGACTCAGCGGGTGTGACCTGCTGGATCCGGCAGCGGGGAGGGAGGCACCATAATCTGCCTGACACAATGTTGACTACATGTGCTGTGTTTAAAAGAGCTTTGGCCTTGTTCTCCTAACAGTGGCTATAAAAAGTCATTAGGATGACAAAAATGTATGAAGAGAACTATCCTAATGATTGTTTTGGTGGGCTTGGCAAAAACTGGATACAATTAAAAGTAGCGGATTTATTTAGTGATGATGAAGTTTTTTATAGCTATACCTATAAACTAAAAAAAATTTTTTACTTCTGAAATTCCTCTTGAAAAAGTAACTTTGTCACTATTTGAAACATCATTAAAATTTAGCCCTTGCTTTAATAATTCTATTTTTCATAAAGCAAAATTTCTAAAGAATAGAAGTCTCATAATGGCAAACAAATTAAGATTCTACAAGTATTCAAGGAAACAATGAAACACTACTACAAAACAGGTTAGACGTCTGTTCTTAACAAACACTGTTCCTACTTCCAACACAGAAAACCTGTCTGACTCGGGTCATGCTCACTCTTCAATTAGTACTCCGATAATGGCTAGACCAGATATAGGAAAGACCTGAGATTTTTACCACTAGAGCCTGAATTATGTAGGTTTTGTTCATTGTTAAACTTATGCCATATACTGGCATATATTGGGTAGGCCAAAAAGTTCATTCAGATTTTTCCATATGCTCTTATAAAAACCCAAACCAACTTTTTGGTCAACCCAATATAATCCAAAAGATGGTGTCGTGCAGTAAAGATGGGGGAAACAAAGCAATTAATTACTTGTGTAAGAAACACTCAAAATAAAATTTTTAGTCCTAAATAATCTGTTGTGGTTATTCCCATGGAACACAGAAATGACACTTCTGTTTCATTTGGGTACAAATGGCACTGATGCTACTGTGACAGCTTTACTGAATGGCCCAGTTATGTCCTTAAACCAAAATACTTGGTTAAAAAACCAATATCTGTAAGTCAGAAAAATAGCAAGCACCACAAACAGGCTACAGAGATGCTCAGAAACCTTGATTCTTACTGACTCTAATGGGCCTCTTTCAAGAATCAAAGGGCTTTTAATTGAACATCATTAGAAGATTCTATTTTTATGAGCAATATATCTGATCGTATTTTGAAAAGTCCCCGTAAAGTACTGTGACTTTGTAAGGAGCTAAACCTCATTTTACCTCCAGGTTTAATATAATGAACATAAATTAAGGCAGACTCTTTAAACATGAAATCCAACCTCGTTTTCAATGTTCACTGTTTGTATTACATAATCGCCTCCACCGTCTAAAGATCTTAATTTGACTCAGGTTCTCACCTTCTCCCGACACGGCTGGCTTGGCTGCTGGGGAAGCTACCCTCTTCAGACTTGCGGGACTTTCTGAGGAACCTGAATCCATGCTGGAAGAAGGGGGGAAGTATTTGAATTTTACTTTTCATTCTCAAAGAAAACAGTACAAATAACAATGATACTTTCTTTTTAAAACTGCTTAACATTTATAACTATTTTTTTTTTTTAAGTATTTATTTGTCCAAGTCTTGGTTGTAGTATGTGGGATCTAGTTCCCTGACTAGGGATCAAACCTGGGCCCCCTGCATCGGGAGTCTGGAGAATTGGCCAATGGACCATCAAGGAAGTCCCCATTTCACATTTAAAACACTGACAATCTACAGCTGAAATAGATGCACTTTGCTAAGTCAAAACACATCACAAAGGGCCATGGTGGCCTTACTCTAAGCTCACATCATTGTCTGTCAGCACTTTGCTTTGCTAGATACATAGCCAAAGCACTGGTCTATTTCAAAGTATGACGGACATGCTCATTCAGTATTTTTGAAGAGCTTCTCTTCTTGAAGCTCTTAATTTATTTTGAACATCTGATGGTTAGAACAATGAAACAATAACCTTCAGAGTAAGGTTCCATACCATAAGGTTCTTAACGAAAAAGATAATTCACTCTTCCAATAATTTCCCCCAATTCTTTGGGCTTCTAAATATTTGTGGATATCTGGCACAGTACCAAAAGTGAAGTGAAAGTGAAAATCGCTCAGCTGTGTCCGACTCTTTGTGACCCCATGGACTATGCAGTCCATGGAATTCTCTAGGCCAGAATACTGCAGTGGGTAGCCTTTCCCTTCTCCAAGGGATCTTCCCAACCCAGGGATCAAACTTAGGTCTCCCGCATTGCAGGGGGATTCTTTACCAGCTGAGCCACAGGGAAGCCCAAGAATACTGGAATGGGTAGCCTATCCCTTCTCCAGCAGATCTTCCTGACCCAGGAATTGAACCGGGGTCTCCTGCATTGCAGGCAGATTCTTTACCAACTGAGCTACAATAAGCATAAAGAGGAACAGAATTGCCAAGAAACCCACAAGACTGTCCCAGGTCTCAGGGTAGAATTCCCTCTTGCAAAAGTAAGTGAAAAACAAGACACACAGGCTTCTGAGCGAGGAACAAATGACCATCATCTGCAAGAGGCTCTCTTGTATTGACACATACCCTAACTTCTGCAGTGAAAAGACCCAGAAGACGAAACGATACGGCAACTCCTACCAAGGAATCCTAACTAGCACAAACAGTTTTGTGCTGAACACAGCATTCACCGTGGAAACAGATGAGCACAGGCATACCTTGTCGATTTCCTTACGGGCCCTGAAATGAGTTTCACGTAGGACTTGGGGAACCAACCCTTCTGGCCTTGCACTTCTCCAAACCACCACATGTCTTGCTGCTCCAGTACGGTGATGACATCATTTTTGTTAAAATTTAAATGGTTGTCTTTCTTGGCTCTCCACGGATACAGGGCTTGCGCCTGTAGCCCCTCCACCTTTTCACCCTTGTGTGGAAGAACATAAAGGACCTCTCGTGACTTTGTGATCTGTTATCAGTTCAGCTGACGCGAACACCATCACCTCCCCTCCGATGGGTACATGCGAGTGCATGTGCAACCACAGAAGACGCCCCCCCGCCTCCTCCCCCCCCAACTTCTCCCCTGCTACCCCCACACCCGGCAGCGCAGCATGGCTGCCACATGCCCCCTGGTTCTCAATAGCTGTTTCCTTCCCAAAGTGGAGGTGAAAACCTGCCAGCCTGTTCACAAAGCCACGGCAGGCCCATCTAGAAGTCTCTATTTAAAACATCTAGGAGATCATATTTATTCTGTTGCACCTGGCCGAATGCCTTTCTATTTTTGGTTCTATTTTTAACTCTCAAGTTGCCCAGGGCAATCCCATTCCCACCAGTTTCCAACTGGATTTGGATGTTTAGTGAAGGATTAATACCAGAGCAGAAACCTTCTGAAAGCTCAAAAGGTAAGCACATCATATCTTAGTTTAGGTGGACACAGGGAAACAGGTCTCGGGTTGGGTTTGGTTTGTCCTAGTTCCTTTTTAGAGAAACAGGGCTTGGGCAAGAATAAACCCTCTGTAATCCCATGTACTATAGAGCTATATGCAAACTCTGTATGAAGATGAAGGCCATCTCTGCCTCCCAAAATAATCCAGGTTAAAATACTTTATTAAGCAGAAAGCACGATAAAAATGCGCAGTAGGACATGACCAAGGAACTCATAATTAATGAAGAAGAAAGAGACACAAACAACTATGTCTACCACTGGGCAGAAGGAAATATGCTAAAAAGAGGTTGCAACTATTCACGGTGGGAACGGAGAGAAAAGAGGAATGAAAGTTGCCTGCAGGCAACAGGGCGAGTTTCACAGAGGTGGCAGTGTTTGAGCTGGGCCTTGAAGGACAAGAAGGATTTTGATAGCTAGGGCTTCGGGGGGAGAGAACTCCAGGTGGACGGCACGACCGTGAGATGCTTTCCTGCCAAGGTTCGAGGAGGAGGAGCAGGATCCAGGGGTGCGTGTGGCCTAGTCTCATGGAGGGGTGCAATAGGAGATGAGGCTGGAAAAGGCAGGGGGAGGCATTTATTATCTCTTAAAAGACTATCACATAAAACTATCACAGTATCTTAAGACAATACTATTATCAAAAAAAATACGTCAACTTTCAATTATGTATGTATTAATAAATGGACAAGAACAAGGGATAAAGCCCAAGGACAGCTCATTCAGAACCCACCTGGACTTGCCTTCAGAAGATACTTATTTTCATGACATTTAACTATGATTATGCCTGATAAGCAGAGAATTTATGATACATCGAAGAGTTTCAGCTTTCATGCTGGCAACTTCCAAATCCTGGTCTCCATGGGTTTTCGTCTTCTGAGACCCATGACATCCCCATTTCCTTCCATCTCAACTGTCCACTTGGTCCAGTCTTCAGAACAGAGGAGGGTTCTCTGGATTGCAAACACCCCGAGGACCGCTGCGTCTCCACCTCCCGTTTCTCCAGTTGTGTTCACAGTGCACCTCCCACCTGAGCCGCGGAGCTCATGGCTTCTGTGTCCCCTAATCCTCTCTGGCATTTCCATTTCGTCTCTGCCATTTCACCTGGACCCTCTCTGGTATCTCGTAACCTCTCACCCTGAGACATCTTGGCTGCACCTGCCCTGTCTCCATTATCCCACATGGAGAGCCTAGAATCAGGGAGAACACAGACTCTGGGTTCAGAGCCCGAGTCTGTCACTCACTAACTGTGTGACCCAAAACAACTGTTCACTCTTTCAGTTCATGCCTCTCAACTGTTCACTCTCTCAGTTGAGGCCTCAGTTTCCACATCTCTAAAACACAGACGCTTTCTTCAAGAAAATTTAATAAGCTCTATCTGCAGAGTTGCTATGATAGTAATCATTGTAACAGGAGTAGCTTCTATTACTATCAGTCCTTCCAAACTATACTGTTTGGAAGTATTGCTGGAGAAAGCCAAGACAACTTGTGATGACAAGTCACAGACTCAGGTTAAATTCAGCCAAGTCACGCTTCATCCTTCTTTGCTCAATTCCTATTCTGCAAGCTCTGCAGGCCCTGGGGGCCCCTCCCGAGAAAGCTGCCTGGAAACACGACCTCAACTTCTTCTTCTTTTTTTTTTTTTTTAGATGACAGAGTTAGCTTTTATTCACAAATGCAGTAAAACATGAGGGGCTAAAGGTTTTGTAGAAACTTCACGTTTTTACAAAGTACAATATTAGCGATGAATTCTGGTAACATTGGGAGAATAAATAAGTTATTTAATACACACAAGTTTAAGATAAAAGATGCCCCAGTTGGAAGTGTCATCTCTTCACCGAGGCAGAAGTGTGCAGGTTTTCAGTATCAGTGCCCCTCCCCTGCTCCTTCCGCAAGTGGTCTTCCATTTGCTTTCTTCCACTAGGTTGTCTGCCAAGATTTGGGTTTGGAGGCTGGAATGAAGACCCTTTCAGAAATGTATTTTGGTTGTCATCCTTAGTTCCATGCAAGAAATGAGCTAAAATCCCATATAAAAGAGGTATTGTATTATCCTTTGAATCTTCAAATGCATTTAGTTCATGGACGAGAAACTGTCTGTCCAGTGGAACTACAGGTTGACCAGATTCTGCTATGAGGACCGACGCTGTATACTTGTATTTGTTGAATTCCAAATACTCCCGAATTAGTTCATTAATTAGAAAGTTTTCATGAGACAATGATGGCCGAGGTTCACTTTCATCATCAAGGGCATTGAAAACTTCCGCACGAACTCTTGCTTTTAAATGCCCTAACACTCCTCTTTTTTCCAACGTGTCCTTTAAAACGGCCTTCAACTCGGCGACAGTCGCCATTTTTCAACGGCCGCCGGAGGCGCGCCTCGCCTGTGCGCACGCGCACTTCCGTCCGCGCCATGGTCTGTGACGACCTCAACTTCGTTCCCTCTTTCTCCAACCTCTCTGCACACTTTCTCTCTCAGGAAAAAAAAAAAAGCAGCTTGTGCTTTCTCTGCTTTTATTGCTGTTTCCCCTTAGATGCTCAACTTCTCAGTCTCTTTCTCCACTGACCACACAGCTGCTGCTTCCTTCTACCCTTTCACCAGACCTTCCCATTTTCCCACCTATCCTTTTCTCTGTATCCCTCTGCAATCTGGAGTGTCCCCCTCTTTCCCGGACCACAAACACGTGCCGCCGCCTCTTTGCCTGGACCACCGCCTTTCATGCTGTAAGAACCACCACGGCCCGCCGTTCTCCTGGTGCTGCGCTCCCCTCCACCGGAGTCACCACTCTGAGCGTGACGTGTGCTACCTGCTGAGCCGGACAGACGCAAAGGCAAAGAGCACAGCTCCTGTGCAGAGCCGCCCTCCTTCCCAGGGCAGAGAAGACACACACTGCATGCAGCTTCCCTCCTCCCCTGCACCCTCGCTCCTCTGAAGCGCTCACTCCATTTCCTGAGGTCTGATCTGTGTTCCCCTTTTCCAAGACAGGAAGGCCCGACTGTCTCACTCTCACCTGGCAATCAACACGCGAACACCCAGCTCCTTCCTCTCACTAAAAGTCAATTTCTCTTTCTGGCTGACTTGTTCCCCCTTAAGGTCAATTCTCTCCTCAACCTTTTCCTTTCCTATTCCCACAGGCGTTGGGATTCCACCTCTTTTAACTGCTGTCACTTCCCCCCATGTCCCCCGTCGAATCTTTCTGCACACCTCCACGTGAGTCTTCCCAGAGCCTGTGTTTCAAGCTGCTTGTTCCCAGAGCAGAAACTGTCCTTGACCCCGAAATGCCTGCCAGATGGGTAATTTCTGTTTCATTACTTATAGAAATGTCATTTCTTTTATCATGTTAAATAGAAATATTACCCTTTCAGCAATTACTTTCTTGATGAGGCATTTAACAGCTTCCCATTTAATCTGCAGTCAGTCTATCTTCTCCGATAAATACTCAGTGGTCTAGCCACGTGGATGGACCCCATGTCTTTCCTGAATCACACTCTGGCCTCCGAGCGAAAGCCTCTCTCCTCAGGGCAGTCTGCATGCCAGCCCTCTCCACTTTCTAATCAGCTCTTACCCACTGTTCGAGACGGAGTTCAAATGCCACATCATCAATGAAGTTTCCCTGAACAATCCAGGAACGTAATCCAGTTTACTCTCCTCTGAATAGTCACGACTCCCTCCACTGGGAAAACTGGGAAAACTGAACTGGATCCTTGCCTGCCAGCCAACCCAGATGCATATAATGAGGGTTACATTTTTTTTTTGCCACTCTATGTGGCTTGCGGGATCTTCGTTCCCCGACTGGGCATTGAACGCAAGCCCTCTGCAGTGAAAGAGAAGAGTCCGAACCACTGGACTGCCGGGGGATTCCCAAGGCTTACTCCCAAATGACAATGATGACAAGCATTGGCTGAATCTTTCTGCCTCACACGGCACGCGGGGGCCTCCCGCTCCCAGCGACGCTGTTACCTGGCCTAAAACAGGAGACGGAGATGAGCCCGTCGCCGTGGCTGGAGTGAAGGCCGATCTCTGCCTCAACTGCCCGGCGCTTGGCACGGTGAGGGAGGGCTGGGCTGCCCATGCGTCCCAGTTGTCGGTTTCCGGCTTCTCACTCGTGCTAGTGGGCCACCTGGAGGGGAAAGTGCAACGCCGTGAGCGGCAGGGACCTCCCAGCATGTCAGTGCTTCTCCCACAGCAGACACACACCAGGACGCACGTGGGGCTAGTTCAAGAGCAAGGAGGGGGAAGAGCACTGAACTTGGGTTTGGGTCGGAGCATCACATACTATCGATGGGTCTCAGGCAAATGACAGTTTCTCTGAATCCTGATTTCCCTGTTGATCAAATGGGAACAGTACTGTGTCACTCTGATTAGCTGTCAGGGTGACCTGAAATCCTACGCAGGGAAATACTCTGTAACCCGAGGCACCAGAGAAACACCCTCACGTGATCCTTATCTTCATTTGCAACAGCAATGCTAAATCAGCAAAAAAGAAGCTTTGCGTCACATAGGAAAACCTGCCAGGCTGGCAGCTGGTGCCTCGTAATATCATCTCTCTGTCCCAGCACCACACAGCAGGCACTGGGCCATGAGCCTGGACACCATGGTAACCCTACAGGTGGTATCCTTAGAGCAACCTGTTGGGTGCAGCTCGGGAACAGTTTTAATTTTGTGATTTTATAATTGTAAATAAACACATCTGTGCGAGTTGCCGATTGAAATGTAATGGACTTTTGAGAATCTTTATGAGAGATAAATTTGCAAATCAAAATATTTCCTTTGATAGACGGCAGGCACGTCCTGATTCCAGGTCTGGAAATAAGATGCCCAGGAAGATAGCCAGAGAGCTGCAGACCACACATTTATTGAGCAAGAGAGTCATGGTGACTAGACCCACAGCAAAACGAAATCCTGAAGAGTTCTGTATTCTATTTTAGTGTCAGCTTTAATTTAAAAAGTCAGAGTGTTTTAAGGGAATATAAACTACTATACATAAAATAGATAAGCGATATGATTTACTGTAGAGCACAGGGAACTATATTCAACATCTTGTAATAACATGTAACAGGAAAGAATCTGAAAATATACATATATACATATATGTATATATATATACACACACATATATATATGTGAATCACTTTGCTGTATACCTGAAACTAACATAACAATATAAATCAACTATATTTCAATTTTAAAAAAAGATCAGGAGAGGAGAATTCCAATGTGGTTTCAGTCACGCTAATGGGAACACTGCTTTTTAGCAGAGATGAGACAGGGAGGACCTTCTTCAGCACTTTGAATCTTTTATGTGAAAATACAAGTATGAAAACTATTGCTGTTCATTATATCCTTTCCTCTACTTTCCCCTGCCCTTGGTCATTACATGCCTCTCTTTGCTCTATTTGATCCACTTGATCTTTCTCCAGCATTATTCCTTGACTCCTTGCCTTCTATGTTTCTGCTGAAAGATGATTAGACTTTAAAACAAATTTAAAACATTTCTTACATCACTTTTACTTGAAGGGCAGTATAAAATATTTTTAGACCAATGGCACAGCTGGACCAGTCCTCTAAGTGGGAGCATGGCAGCCCTCCATCTGTCCTTTCAAACCTCTGCTTACACACTGTTTTCAATGCCGTTTCCTGATGACCAAGGGCATGGCACCAGTAGCTGCCAAGCACACACATCTCTTTGCCCCGCTGTCCGCTTATCCAGGACTGATGAAAGAGGAAAGCCTCAGAGGAAACAGCCTTCTATCTTACTCAAAACCACATGACAAAATTCAATTTATGTTTCTGTCCAGCAAAAAAAACCACCCCAAAACAGTGCTATTTCCATGCAGGAAATGACTCTAAAATTTGCTGACATGGGTATCAAGCAGATTATTAGGAAACTGTGTTTCTCCCATTTCTTCCACAATAATGAAAGATACAGACAAATGAGTGAATGAAACAAGGGTAATAGGCTTTACTTTATCCTAGGGAAAAATCATTGTTGAGCCATGATGTAATTAAATCCAGTTCAGAGAATACAATCCACAAATTGCCAAAAGACAAGTCAGAGAAAGAGGCCATGAACAGTACTCAAGAGGTACAACCCAAGGACTGAAACAGCACTTAAAAGATCACTAATGTGGGACTTCAAAAATCGTCAGAAATGGCATCCAACACGTACGTGGAGCTGAAGTCGGCCCAGTTGTTGGGGGTCTCGGAGGGCTCTGCGGGGGCTGCAGCCAAAGGGGCGGGGGTCTCACGCACAGCCACTTTGGGTGTAGGGGTGGAGGCCACCTCAGTCACTGGTTTGACTGGGGCGGGAACCTCGTTTTCTGGGATTTTCTCTGCGTAGTTTGCAGGGAACCATCCCGTCTTTCCTTTTAATTCTCCTCCAAGCCATCCCGGTTCTCCAGTTTGGCTTTCGTCCACCTGCAGGAAAGTCATAAACTTTAATTTAAGTGGAACTAAATCAACCCCTACAGACACCAAACACTCTTAACAGAACAAAGCCCCCACTTCTGACCCGGTCAGACTAACACACAGCACAGACCTTTCTTTGCCTTATTCTTAGTCTGAGAGTCTGGAAAAATAGTCTCTAAACATTAACTCTAAAGAAACAGTTGGTGCTATAATTCAAGTTCTTACTCTTTTGTGCCTGTTTATCTTTTTCTTTTTCTCCTAACAATAGCAGCTAGGATAAAGTACCTGGAGTCTTAAGAAGTCCCATAATTTAAATATTTTGAGCTACTCTGAATTATAAAATGATGTGACAGACTTCATCACTCAGGAACTCAAGTAATTATTAAAAAATAGTTTGACTTAGGTTTATTATTTAAAATGGAAAGCAAAGGGTGCAATCAATATAAATGTAGCCCTCTAAAAGTCTCTAAAAACTAAGCAGTCCTTATTCAGCACACGGACAAGAGAAACAGAAAACACAGTCTTAGATGTTTCTATAGGCAATAAAACTGGCTGCTGCATGTAGTCTTTTGAAAGCTCCACAGATATATGAAGAGAAAATTAAAGAAATGATTATTTGGAGCAATGATTAATTTTATTAAAGTCCTATCACTTTCTTTTGCATAAATTGTACTGTAACATTCATAAATGTGCACAGGAGAATACAGGATTCTGCTGTTTAAAAATTTCAGAGGAGCTTTATTACAACTGGGCTTTTAATGTTTGCATTTTATCTTAATTCTGACTCAAAAGGATTAGTCAGAATCACCAGAATGACTCTAATACTTATCTTTCCAAGTTACCCTCACTATTTTTGAGCAACAGGAGATCAATTTGAAGATAATTACATTCCCTAGTAGAAAATTATTTTCATTGCAGTAAGTCAAATAAAGTTCTGTCAGAGATCTTATTTTATCCTGTAAAGCACTGCCTCAGGAGGTAATGCATTGAACTCTTCACTGGACTTGAATATTGCTCTTTTGAAATCACAGAAATGAGTGCTAGGGTTTCAACGATGACTTTGGAAAAAAGCTGCAAAAAATCCAGTTTTCTAACCTATTCAAATATTCAGTAAAACAAAACACAGGGAAGGGACATTTGTATACCTACGGCTAATTCATGTTGATGTTTGGCAGAAACCAAAGCAATGTTATAAAGCAATTATCCTTCAATTAAAAACATAAATTAAAGAAAACAAAAACAAAAAACACAAAATAAATAACTATGGAACCAAATATTTATTTGTATTCTGTGTAGAGTAATATGGTATGATGTTTATTAGCTTCTTTGAATTAAAAAAAAAAAAACACCTTGGGATAGGCATGCAGAAAGTAGAATTCAAAGCTCACTGTATTATTTCTACATGTTGGTTATAAAATAACCTGTATGAGAGCTTCCTTGCTGCTCTATTTTAGGGAAGCCTTACTGGCATGGGGAAAAGCAACTTTTAAAGCTGAGAATTCTCCAAAAGGGAGTTACCCAGAGATAAAGCACAACACTGCTTCCAAAAGTTCTATTTTTGGCTTTAGAGTTCCGGATGGAACACCCCCACATCGTCTTCTTCTTTCTTCCTCTTCTGGGCAGCCCCACATGTTTCATGAGATGAGGATTTAAGGTGACATTTTCCCCACTTGGATCTTATTTTGTGCTAAACTCAAATGGCTAGAATAGATGCCCTTCCTCACTGGTTGATGTTTACTGGTGACACTCTGACGCACTGTAGCTTGCTAGCTGCTTTGTGCTGGAAACATAGCTGTTTGTAGGCCAGGCTCCGCCAGGGCCTCCCCAACTTCTCATCAGGTTCAACAGACAAGCTCCTAACCTTTCCATGCATCCCAGGACCAAGGGGAGGACAGTCAGCAGTGAGTGAGGAGCTGGGGTCAGACACACAAGCACTTTGCCTCAAGACCGCAAGGTACCATGCTCAAGGGTAGGGCTCTGCACTCAGACTGCCTCAGTTTTAGTGCTGGCTGGGTCCTTGTTGCTGAGGGCGTCCTCAGGTTGCAGCCAGTGGAGGCTACTCTGTGGTGGTGAGCTTTTCATTGTGGCACACAGGCTTAGTTGCCCTGTGGCATGTGGGATCCTCCCGGAACAGGGATCGAACTGGTGTCTCCTGCGTTGGTGGGCAGACTCTTCCCCACGGAGCCACCAGAGAAGCCCCTTATTGTTCAGTTGCTCAGTCGTGTCTTGACTCTTTGTGACCCCACAGACTGCAGGCTTCTCTGTCCTTTACCATCTCCTGGAGTTTGCTCAGACTCATGTCCATCAAGTTGGTGATGCCATCCAACCAGCTCATCCTCTGCTGCCCCCTTCTCCTCCTGCAGCTCCTGCTTCGATTTTAGTACCACTTCTACAATTATTAGCTGGCTGACTTTGGACAAGTTTAATCTCTTGGTGCCTCAGTCTCCTTATCTATAAAATGGAGGATAATAATAACAGTACCTGTTCTGTAACAGTTGTTGTAAGAAGTATCCAGAATACTGCCTGGCATCAGAGATGTGCTTGATGACAGATTTCTTCTTTTTTAAAGATTTTTCTTGATATAGACTATTTTAAAAGTCTTTATTGAACTTCTTACAATATTGCTTGTTTTATATTTTGGTTTTTTGGCCACAAGGAATGCGGGGTCATAGCTCCCTGAGACTCTGCACTCAGACCCACACCTCCTGCGCTGGAAGGTGAAGCTGTAACCACTAGACCACCAGGGCAGTCTGACAGACTTCCTAAAGCCATCTCTCCTGTCGTCTAGCTCCGACTCTTGTGCAGTTCTCTTTTGTCCTGTAAAAGCCTGGGCTCTGTCTGGCCCTGGTCACTTTAGGTAACCAGAGATTTGGGTTCTCTGTGGGGAGGTCCCTGCTCTAGAAACCTGTCTGGTACCCCAGGCCCTCTGGGCTGGGCTTCCTGGCTTCCTGTAGGGGCTGGAGTGTGATCCCAGATCCCAGCCTATCTGAAACCCCTTACTGGTCTGTCCTTGTTAGACTTCCTTGAGTACCAGCTGCTTTACTTAATGATGTCCTATGACCCGCTGTCATTCCCTTGAGATATGGGTCTTACTTGGTTAACCAGACTTTTGGTTGGCACCTGGAATTGGATCTGAAGCCCCGAGGGAATGTTCCACCCCATGGGCAGGTTGAGCTCACATCCTAGTTAATTACACCCAGCACTGCCCCAAAGATGACAAAAAACAAGCGCCACCACTGAGACGTGCATGTGTGTACTCAGGAAGAGGAGAGGGTGCCATGCCAGCCCCTCATCCTTGCAAACAAGAGCTTCTGCTACCTTTCAAGGCAATAATGAAACCAGCCTGTCACTTGTCACCAAGGAAATCCATCTCTTTTAACATAGGAAACTGTTTGCTAATTGAACAAACAATAGTCTCAATGAGTTTAATTTATTCTTATAGAAATCCATTAATTTGAATGACCAATTAAATTTTAAGGTTCAGAGGATAAAATAAAAACTCACATATAACATTAAATTAAATTAACCACTTAGAAAAAGTATAAAGGGTCTTGTACGAAAATGAGAAACATTTCCTCCTGGAGTTGAAAAGCTTTATTCAAAAATGCCAACCAATTGTGAAAATGTTATATATAATTAGGATAGAAAAAGCACAGTCAAACACACAGATTTCTTTGTAAGCATCTATGACTGGCTATAACATGAACTTATATGTACATGGGGTAGATTCATATATCTGTGGCTTACACTGATGACTCACAAGTGAGGGGATTTTTGTGCTAATAATATTGGACTTAATACAATTTTGCTTAGCCACCACATTGCAACACCTCAAAGCATCTGGGGGCCTTCTAGTGAAATGTCAAAGTGGGAAGCACAAACCCCAAATGTTGCTTAAAGGTCTGGGAATATGTTAGAGACCTAGTGTATGAACTGTTAATAATTAGGCACTGCATACTGGAGAGCACTGAGGCGACAGTCTAACGCAGGCAGCATTATCAGGTCCAACGACTGAACCCCAATACCCAATAATATCAGACCTCTTTTCTCAGTGTTTGTGGCTTCATGGCCGCCATCTCTGTTAGGTGACACTAAGGTTTCTAACGCGTCTGACCTTGTCACAGAGAAGGGTAACAGAGGTCCTCTCTCCTCACAAGCAGAACAGACTGTGGACAGTAAACATGTGTAAACTGTGTACTGACTTAGACCTGCCGCTGCAGCTGCATGGGATATGCGGGGAGTGTGGAGACAGCACGTGCTTCATGCATTTGCCAGTTTAGAAATAAAAGGGTGCCCCCTGAACTCCCGGATGAGGATACTAAAGCTGTTTTCTAGAGACGCAGCCCTAGAGAATGGACTTGTGAACACAGTGGGGGAAGGAGAAGGTGGACCAAATTGAGAGAGGAGCGTGGAAACATATACATCATCTGATATGTAAATCAGCTAGCCAGTGGGAATTCACTGTATGATGCAGGGAGCCCAACCAGGTGCTCTGCGACAACCCAGGGGGAGGGGAGGGCGAGAGGCGGAAGGGAGGTTTAAGAGGGAGAAGACGTGTGTATACCTATGGCTGAATCATGTTGATGTATGGCAGGAACCAACATAGCATTGTAAACAATTATTCTCCACTAAAAAATAAACAAAATTTTAAAACATTAAAACAAAACCAAAAAAACACCTGTTTTCTAAAGTGCTAATCTAGAAGTCAGCCAAAAATTTTTTAAAAAATATTTATTTGACTGTGTCTGGTCTGAGTTGTGGCATACAGGATCTCCAGCTGAGGCACGTGAACTCTTAGTTGCAGCATGTGGAATCTAGTTAATGGAACCAGGGGCTGGACGCCTGCACCAAGAGCTTGGAGTCTTAGCCACTGGACCACCAGGGAAGTCCCTTAACTTTCACAAGGACTCAAACCTGCAGCTGTGGCACAAAAGAAGCTGTCGGCAATATGGAAAGGAATGTGCCTTACTGTGTGCCTGTAAAACTTTATTACAAAACAGGCATGGGCT